GGAATGTGATGCTGGAGACCTACAGCAACCTGGTGTCATTGGGTGAGTAAAACTCCTCAGTGTCAGAAACACCACTTTCTTCTTGTATGGTAAATAAAGGTACCACTTATAAGATTTAATGCTATTTAGGTAGGATTTTACTCTGAAAAGAATGCATCGTCCCTCTCCAATGAAACACTCAAATTGGCCCTGTCATTTCATAGCATCTTAAGATGAGCTCTTGTCATCCTTTCAAGAACCTGACAGCAATTTTGCAAAGTCCTCTGTTATTATCCATTAAAGGGTACTTCATTACCAAACCAGAGGTGATCTCCAAGTTGGAGCAAGAAGCCGAGCAATGGACGACAGACTCCCCAAACCAGAGTCTACAAGGTCAGTACATACTGGGCGCCGAGGCTGGAAAGAGTAAGGTCCAGCAGATGTTGGTCATATTCAGCTGTGTTTACCAACATTTTTTCAAGATTTCAGACTTGAGAACAGCTGGTCTATTTAGAAACTCATGCATTATATAATTTCCAAAGAGGGCTCTCACACTTATACNGAGGAGTGGCAGGACCTTGATGATGGTCAGAGGACTTTGTACAGGAATGTGATGCTGGAGAACTACAGCAACCTGGTGTCATTGGGTGAGTAAAACTCCTCAGTATCAGAAACACCACTTTCTTCTTCTATGGTAAATAAAGGTACCACTTATAAGATTTAATGCTATTTAGGTAAGATTTTATTCTGAAAAGAATGCATCATCCCTCTCCAATGAAACACTCAAATTGGCCCTGTCATTTCATAGCATCTTAAGGTGAGCTCTTGTCATCCTTTCAAGAACCTGACAACAATTTTGCAAAGTCCCTGTTATTATCCGTTAAAGGGCACTGCATTACCAAACCAGAGGTGATCTCCAAGTTGGAGCAAGAAGCCGAGCAATGGACGACAGACTCCCCAAACCAGAGTCTACAAGGTCAGTACATACTGGGCACCGAGGCTGGAAAGAGTAAGGTCCAGCAGATGTTGGTCATATTCAGCTGTGTTTACCAACATTTTTTCAAGATTTCAGACCTGAGAACTGCTGGCCTATTTAGAAACTCATGCATTATATAATTTCCAAAGAGGGCTCTCACACTTATACACCCACCTTTTATTTTAATGAATATTTCATATACTTCCCCAAATCTCATCTCTACCTTTCTTGTTTTAGACCCTTTTATTTACTGTGAACTTTATCCGTATTCTTGGTAGCTCTCTTTTTCTCCATTATCATGTAAGTTTTCTTCCAGACTGGCTTTTATTTTTTTTGGGGGGGGGGCTCCATTATCATGTAAGTTTTCTTCCAGACTGGCTTTTTTTTTTGGGGGGGGGGCCGGTATGGGGATTGCAACCCTTGGCTTGGTGTTGTCCGCACCACACTCAGCCAATGAGTGCACCAGCCATCAACATACAAGTTCTGAACCCGTGACCTCAGTGCTACCAGTGCCGCACTCTCCCGAGTGAGCCATCGGGCTGGNTCTTCGTGGAGACTCTCAGCAGGGTCCATAGGTGGTGCAGTGTATCACAAGGTGAGAGTGGCAAAAGTGTGTCCACATGCTGTATAAAAACACCAATCTACCCCCTGAAACCCATTAATTCATTATCTCATGAACAGGTTGATCCATTCATGGGGGCATGGCTCTAACTACCTATAACCTCCCAAAAACCTCACAGTTCAAATGCCATAGTTAGATTTCCCACACTCTTAACACTGTTACAATGATGATCAAGCTTCAATATGAGTTTCAGGGAAACATTTATATTATAGCACAAACATTTATTCATACACATATTTTTTTAAATGACATCTTAATTAAGCAGGTTTGAAGCACTGTTTGTTTTATAGTTGTACTTAAAACACCAATAATCCAAATAATGTCTTTTTTACAGAGTTTAGATTCTGATGAGAGAGAAACGAAAATAATATACATNACCAATCTACCCCCTGAAACCCATTAATTCATTATTTCATGAACAGGTTGATCCATTCATGTGGTCATGGCTCTAACTATCTAATAACCTCCCAAAAACCTCACAGTACAAATGCCGTAGTTAGATTTCCCACACTCTTAACACTATTACAATGACGATCAAGCTTCAATATGAGTTTTGGGGGAACATTTATATTATAGCACAAACATTTATTCATACACATATTTGTTTTTTAATGACATCTTAATTAAGCAGGTTTTAAGCACTGTTTGTTTTATAGTTGTACTTAAAACACCAATAATCTAAATAATGTCTTTTTTTTACAGAGTTTAGATTCTGATGAGAGAGAAACAAGAAAATAATATACATTAAGTATTTGTATTAGAATCATGAAGAATAGGTAACCACAGTGAGGGAGACAGAAAAATGTGTAGTAGCATTTAGGAAGGATATCCAGATTGGGCAGTTTTAGGGAGACTATTAAGTGTTTGCTTTGACATAGTGCCAGTTCAACTTAACTCTATTCCAAATTTGACATATAATACATCCACAAGTATAAAACAGAGTTTGCAGAGGACATCACTATTGGAAGTACAAATTTGGAAATTGGTGACTTAAAGCTGATTTTTAAAGTCATACTTAATAGAGGAGGTTACCCAGGGAGTTGATAAGAAAATGAGAAAAGAAGTCCAGAAGTGAAACTTTTGTGCCATGAATCAGAAAGTAGAAAGCTGATAAGGACACAGCACAGGAACCTGAAAAGGAGCTACTGGACTGGGAAGGAGAATCAGGCAATTGAGGGTCACAGCATCAAGTGAACCAAGAGTTTTATGTTGAAGGGCTCAGATTATTTTGTGGAGTACTGGAATTTGAGGTTAGCATGTTCCCCTTCTCTTTGTGAATATTATTCTAAAAACAACAAAGAGAATGAGGAATGTACACAAGACTTTATTTTTTATGAAAATAGGACACACCTGAAAATTCATTGCACAAAATAAAAGCCTTCAGAAGCGGTGAACTATAAAGCAGACTTGTGTGCACCAGAAAATGGTGGGGAGAATGCCAACTGAACTCAGAAGGAGCTAAATATAAATTGAAATATTGTGGGTATAGCCTGGGTAAAAACTAAGTGNATTTGGAAATTGGTGACTTAAAGCTGATTTTTAAAGTCATACTTACTAGAGGAGGTTACCCAGGGAGTTGATAAGAAAATGAGAAAAGAGGTCCAGAAGTGAGACTTTTGTGCCATGAATCAGAAAGTAGGAAGCTGATAAGGATACAGCACAGGAACCTGGAAAGGAGCTACTGGACTGGGAAGGAGAATCAGGCAATTGAGGGTTGCAGCATCAAGTGAACAAAGAGTTTTATATTGAGCGGCTCAGATTATTTTGTGGAGTACTGGAATTTGAGGTTAGCATGTTTCCCTTCTCTTTGTGAATATTATTCTAAAAACAACAAAGAGAATGAGGAATGTACACAAGACTTTATTTTTTTATGAAAATAGGACACACCTGAAAATTCATTGCACAAAATAAAAGCCTTCGGAAGCAGTGAACTATAAAGCTGAGGTGTGTGCACCAGAGAATGGCAACTGAACTCAGAAGGAGCTAAATATAAATTGAAATATTGTGGGTATAGCCTGGGTAAAAACTAAGTGTCTTAAACCTGCAGAAAGAGTGCACAGTGTCACAAAATGGAGATTTTTAGAAGCAGAGGCAATGATGTTAAATGAGAAATTTGTAGGAAGGTGTCTTTATCTGTGGGGGTGTAGTATTCCATTTTGTATTGCTGTAACAGAAATACCCGAGACTGTGTAATTTATAAGGAAAAGAGGTTTATTTGGCTTATGATTCTGAGACAGCTGCATCTGGCATGGGCCTCAGGCTGCTTCTACTCATGGTGAAAAGTGGCAGGGAGCCAGCGGGTACAAGCAGATCACATGGTGAGAGGAAGTGAGAGAGGGGAAGCAAGAGAGAGAGGAGGTGCCAGGGTACTTTAAACAATCAGCTCTCCTGGGAAATAATAGAGCAAGAACTCACTCACTACCCCTCCTCCCCCAGGGAGAGCATTAATCCATTCATGAGGGATCCGCCCCCATGACTCAATCAGTTTCCAACACTGCCACATTGGAGATCAAATTTCCACATTAGTTTTGGAGGGAACAACACATCCAAACTCCATCAGGGGGAAAGGAGACTTTTTATCTGAAAAAATCCCAGATGTCTATAGCTTTTTCCTAGGGAAGAATGAAAACTAAACAAACAATAGGTGGAAAATTCTGAATCTAAGCCAAATTTCTGTTTAAAGGACAGAAAATTGGCTTCATCCTGAACCTGAAAGTACTTGATCTGATGAAATATTGCCACCCTCAAATGAGAATAAAAAGGGGAAAAAAGCACTATGTGATAACCATTGTTGTTATAAGAATAAAATAGAGAAATAAAATAGGGTAAAAAAATTCAGATGACAAGCACTTGGTTGAAAACTATGACCAGGCAGTATGTGAAAGTTTTGCCAAATATTTTCTTATGAATTAAAAATACAAAAACAAAGAAAACATGATTGAACATTAGAAAATATATTAATACAATTTATTACATTATGGTAGTATGTAGGAAACATATATACTTGTAAAACCAATATCCGTTATTCATTTTTACTCAATCCTATGCCATGAGGATGTGAAAAAAAACTTCTTTACCTTTACAAGCACATTTAAACAATACTTATGTGTGGCTTATGGATATGGTTATATTTTCTTATTTTAGATATCCAGATAGTTGAAGGTCTAATTACAAAAAATCAAGAATGTCATGATACGCATTTGCAGCAAATTGTAATTACCAACAGCAATACATCAACTGAGAAGAGAGTTGAATTAGAAAAAACATTTCATTTGAGCTCAAACCACATTTCAAATTCAATTATAAATAGTGAAAACTATTCAGGAATGAGGTGCAAAAAGTTTAACATATGTTGGAATGCACTTCCTCCTAGAGAGGCTGATCGGATGCATGCTGGAGAGAAATCTGCTGAGGGTAATATAACTGGGAAACTGTGGAGACACTGTAAGCATCTTAATCAGCATTTCAAAATTCAAGCTCAGCAGCAGGCTTTTGAATATAGTGGACAATGGAAATCCTTCAATACAGAGCCAATATTATTGGGACATAAAAAAGTGTATATGGGAGAGACATCCTATAAATTTGAT